ATACTTTTCATTATTTTGAAGATTGGGAATTTAGAGAAAGAATTTAAGAGCTTAGGGCTCTTTTCCCTTCTGCATCAATTGTCCTTTTAGCACTGGCCATCAACCAGTCAGGCAATCCAAAGTCAAGCTCAAATCATAAAAAAGAAAACTGCACATTCAGTTGGAGAGTAAAACCTCTGGAATTAACCAGAGCTGCTCCTACTGCCAAAGAAGAAAGCCACTGCTCCATTTAAAAAGTGAATGATCTCTTTGGCATATGTCACAGTTCTCTTGTGTGTACCCAGTGCCACTAACTGTCAAATACACCCCATGTAACTGATATGTAATGAAATGAAGGTGTTATGAATAAATTTGAGACTCAGAAAAGAAAGAAAGACTACAGAAACACTTTCCTTCAAAAGTGTATCAACGGTACATTTCATTGGTATAAATACTAAATTTACCCTGGAAAGTAATTTTGAACATTTGATTTACAAAATCCAGCTGGACATATTTTCAAATTACTGACTTTTAAAAAAGCCTTTGACATTTGAATGCTATGCATATGTGGTGTGCTTATACACAAGTAGAATTCATTGAGTTTAATGAGTATTACTTGTAAATTAAGAGGAATGGGATTTGCTCTCTATTTTATTTGTGCTATACTTCTAAACAAGTGTTCACAGTGTAATTTAACATGTAAAAATGAGACATAATTCTTCACACATCTGATTTGAAAAAACTGACTTCATGAGCAAAGGGTAATTGAACTGTCCATTTTGCAATTGAAAATAAATCAATCTATTAGCTAAATTAGCTCATAGAGATAGTGCTATAAGTGTTTAACTATTAAAGCATTGTCTTACAGATTTCAGAGAGGAATTGTCTTTGTTAAGCACACTCCACCCCAGCGTCTTCACTATGACCGCAGTTGTGTTCACCCCATCCTTGTTTATTACATGAAAAAATAGTGTCTTCATTTCCTGTACAACGCACGTTATCCAACCAGATTTTTCCAGATCCTGATATCAGTCAAACATATGAAAGGAGAGATGAAATTAGCTATCATAGACTAAGACAGATAAAACAATTAAACCAACCAACCACTAAACATATCTGTAATGGTGCTCCTCAAGCAAAGATTTTAGGCCTCGTTCCCACTATGATTTAGAATTGCTGATTGGGTTATATGTCTGTCGTTCCCACTTAAAACCGGTTCCAAACTGACTACACTCAGTTTCAATCATGATGAAGCAAGGCAAATGCAAAAGAGCCACTCTTTCCAGACACTAGTTTTTGATGGTTCTTTTGAAAAGAAATGATTAGCAAGCATGTTCAGCAAGTGGGAACGAAGGATCTGAATCGCATCAAACTGAAGGGGAGGGATTACTGTGGCAGAGGGTAGTTGAAGTGGTGCCCTCCCAGCCTTGCAGGACTTGGAGGACATGCTTCCTAGTCAAGCTCAGAATGGAGGGTGTTTTGAAATTCCTCTTGGACATAAGTTTGGAATGTAGGACGGGTCCTGGGAAAGTGGAAGAGGGGAAATGGTGGATTTCCCCAAAAACTAGTGAGGGCTGGGATACAAGTGAGGGATGGGATTCTGGCCATGGCACCCATGAGTCCCTCTCATGTTTTCTTGAATGTGTTGCTGGGTGTGTCACCGATGATGTGTAGATGATTGACAGGCATTTTGAAGGGCCACAAACAATCATGCCAAAAAAGAAACAATTAAAGAAAAGACCACTTCCATAGTGGGAACAATGCATGGACTGGAATCTATTTATCAACCTGGAGCAAAAGCGAATCTTAAACCAGGTCATATGTAAATGGGAATGAGCTCTTAGACAGCTTGAGTCCTGAGAAAGCAGGACTTCTCAGTGGAAGAAGAACTTTAGCAAATACTTCTGCTCCCAACACAGTAACTGATTAACTGTACACCACTACCTGTCCGAAAGGTTTGGAAAGGGCCTTAATACTCCTTGATTTAAGGATGTAAATCCTCAACTATTTTGTCTTCCACAGTGTTTTCCTCATATTCGAAAGCCCCAATAGAATTATAGAAGAATGCATGGGCTTTTTTGCACAAAAAACAACAACCTATTTTTCTGCATGCAGACAGGTTTTCAGTGCTTTCAGCTCAGGAAACCCATTTTCTGTTTTTAAAAAAGTTCTCTGTATAGAATAATTCCTCTGTAATACTTTTGGACCTTCAAATACCAAGAGAAAACTATGCAAAATTCTCACTGCTTCTTGATGGTGTTGAAGCCAATTTTTCAATGTGTGAATGAATAAAGATGAATATTTTATCCATCTCTGCCTGGAATACCCTCATCATTTTCTTTCTCATTCTCCTATTACCTAGAAAACCATTGAAGACCTACTACAAGCTGTAATGAAGTAGCCACACATACAAAAAAGCATCCAGACTTGAGTACATTTGCATATGTTGCTACTGTGTTTCAGGTATGACACTTGACTTTTCTGGTTGCAGAATTTATAGAGTTTTTTTTTTTAAAAAAATACAGTAGTATCAAATCATGGAAAGAAAATGAGGATGTGATTTTGCAGGTAGGAAAATTCCAAAGTTGCTCTAGAACATATTTGAGGTACTATTCGCACCTACACAGTGATGTAGGGATACCACAAAGTTTCAAGTATGGGTGAGGTACTATGGGCACAGCCTTGCCTGAAAGAATCTGGTTGTTTCTCTACTCTTCACTACCTGTAGCTCTCCATAAAGACAGGAGACCTCCCACTGCACATCTCTTTCTTCCTCTGACCCGTTGGAGAATGAAGATTCTGCCTCAGTTTCACTATGAAGTTGGTAACTAAAGACAGCTCTGTGAGATGCTGCTTCCTATGCAATCAAGGTACATTACTTGGAACTAAATCTCTCTTTTTTGCCTTGATTAAATTAGGCAAGGAACAAATTTGTAGATTACCTGCAGTTGCTGTGAAGGTGTTAACTGCACTTCGAAATCCCAGCATTCGACAAATCACTGCTCCATCATTTACGTCCCAGTCATCATCACATATGGTGCCCCATTCTCCATTGTACTGAATCTCAATTCGGCCACGATAGTGTCCTCCAATAAGTCTGAGAAAGGGATGGTATCCTATTGCTGTGGTTTTTAATGCATCATTGACATCAAAAGACAAAAGAAAATCAATAAGGTTTTGGTCAGGATCAATCTGAGTACAGTTGGCCCTCCCCCGTTTGAGGCTTTGACTTTTGTGGATTTGATTGTTTGTAGTTTTGATTAATATGTTCTTTCTAGGAATCTCTAGGTCCTCCAGTGCAACTTTGCCAGAAGTTGACCATAGTGTTGTGCTGGAGAACCTAGAAGTTCCTAGAGAATATACTTCTTTAGACATTTGTAGGTCCTCCCGTGTGATTCTAGGATCTGGCCATAGAGTTGCACTGGAGGACCTGGAGATTCTTAGAGAGATGTTCCCTCAGGTAAAAAGAATCATGGTTTTTTTTTAATTTGCTATTTTTTCCACATTCATGGGAGTCCTTCACCTCTAACCCCAGCAAATGTGGAGGGACCACTGTACATGTCTAGTGTTATTTCTTTTTTGTTATAGAATCTCCATTCCCAGTGACCATGTGGGGTGGGAGTTTCTCAGAGATGTTGTCCATGGCCAGCATGGCTACCCCTAAATATCATTCCTGAATTTGAAGCTAACAAATTTTGCTCAATAGGGGAGATTGAACAAGAAGGAGCAATGGACAGCAAATTAATTATTTGAGGTTTTCACCTCCAACAAAGGTGCCCCTGTCCTGTGCAAAGCTTTCATTTGGACTACATTTGGCAAGATTTTGCCTACTTTTCCCAGATGTACCAGTACAGGGACTTCTTGAGAAAGTCAGTGTTCTTTGCCTGAGGGGGAGTTAGCTTTGCACAGGACAGGGGCAGTCTGGATTTCAAGGGAAGTTATTTTGCTGCTACTAATGGATTTGAATTTTTTTTTTGCTTGTAATTTACTGTCCTTTGTCCCCAGTCTCTACATGGCAAAAAGGGGAATGGCCTCTGCCTACACCAATATCCCTACAGAACATCTTAGCTGACAACAGAAATAACATCTGAGACAATTATAACTGTTGCTCTAGCATCATCACTTTTCTTCTCCTGTATAGTTTTTAACATCTTTGCCAGTGAAGGTTCAAAAAATTGCATGATATATTTTCTGCATTTTGGTTGGCCAATAAAGCTGTAGCTCTTTTGTGCATTTTGTATTTTGTTGTGTTGTCCATATCAATGACCTTTCCCAACCTCTGTCAAGGCCTCAAATATAGTGTAATACAAGAATATATAACACTCACTTGGGGTTGAGACACTACTAGGGTGATAAACACAGCAAAAACAGATTGTCTGTGCAAAATTATAAGTAAAATTTCTATAACATTTATGACTGTTACTTTGACCAATGCCAGGTAAGCGTGGAAACTATAAAGGGTGTATATGAAACTTCGTACAACCAGGAACAACCCTGCTTACTTTACTAGCAAAGCTCTGTCCATTAGTTCTTGATCCTTTGGTACTGTCCATGTCTGTTATTTAGGGAAACCCCAACTCACGTGGACCCCAATTTGCATAGAAAATTTTTTCTCAAGCTTTAGCTGACGTAATTTTATGTAATTGTTGGTGCATAGAAGAAAAAGAAGTGTTAATTACCTGGAGAGCCCTTTTCGCCTTTAGGCCCCTGTATCCCCTGGGAGCCTGATGGAACACAAAAATGAACATATGAAACATGCAGATGTCTGGGTTGCAATTTTTTCAGTAACAAGTTTTTAATGAAAACACTTACTCTTTCCTTCAGGGCAGAAAAAGCAACATTTTTCTTTCATCTGTCGAGGTTGTACAGATGTCCTGTCTCCTAACCATTTTTAGGACAAGCGGAGTCCATACATGGACTTGGACACTCCTTCCTTTCTGTCCCTTATCCTTCTTTCTTATGTTCAAGTTTCCTGTCCTTTTCTGAACTAAATATGATATAACATTTCATGTAAAAAGAGGGCCAGTGTGATGTAGTGGTTTGAGTATTGGACTATGACTCTTGAAACCAGGGCTCGAATCCCTGCTCAGCCACAGAAACCCACTGGATGACCTTAGGCAAGTCACACTCTCTCAGCCTCAGAGGAAGGCAAGGGCAAACCCCTTCTCAACAAATTCTGCTGAAAAAAAACCCATGATAGGGCTGCCTTAGGGTCATCATAAGTCAGAAATGACTTGAAGGCACTCAACATTTCATGAGCAGCCACATATTTCTTAGTCCTAAGATTCAAAGCACAGTTCAAAAACCATTTTTGTAACCATGATTGTAGTAGTTTGAAATGACATTTGTTGCTGTAGTGTAGTAACCAGAGATGGAAATAGTTACTTTTTGAAGTGATGTTCTTATCTACTTTCAACTCTATTCTAGAAACTATCTGGGTGGGTGGGTGGGATGGCAAGATTTATTCAGAGAAGTTTTTTCATTGTCTTTCTCTTAGGCTGAGAGAGTGTGACTTGCTCAAGGTTTCCCACTTGGCTTGCATGGTGAATAGAAATTCAAACTTTGGTATCCCAGGGTACTATACCAATATTCAGACCATTATACCACACTAAGCAACACCACACTGGCTCATGTTTTGAACTACAGCTCCCACAATTCTCCAAGCATTGGCTATGGTGGCTGGTGGATTCTGGGAGTTGTGGTCCAAAAAAGGTGAATTTTCTGAGTTCTGGTAGTAATTAAGAGACTGAGCCATGGATCAGAAAATCATCAGATTGAATCTCACCTTCATAGTGGCAAATACGGCACTATCGGTTCACAGTTTCCCATCTGCATATGGAAATAATTTTGGTCTGCTTTGTAGTTTGTTATAAAATATACTGTAATAATGAATGTACAGTGCTTCAAACAACTGAAAGTGTTATAAAGGCTGATTGATTGATTGATTGAAAGTGTTATATGAATATTAAACAGAAACAAAAACTTTTTGCTGTGCCAAAGTTTCTACAGAACAGAACATAAAATGAGGATTGCCTCGCCACTTTTTCTCATAGTGGCGTGTACTAGGAATCATCTCATGGCCATAGATTTTTCCAGGGCAAGATCACCCACATCTCATGATACAGAAGTGGAAGAGAGGAAGTACAAATCACTTCTGCTTCTGCCCTCCCCACATCTGCAGTGCATGAACTGACATTTAAAAGCTCGATACTCTAAATAGTGACATTGTCCCTCTTGACTGCTTTCTAACCTATCAATGTTCTCCTTGAAATATGGCACTCCAATGACACTTTTGTGTTTCATCGGGGTTTTTTTCTCAGCACTGACTAACTAGTATGTTGCATGTCTCATAGGCAAACCTGAGTGTATCTTGAAGTGATCAGACTTCTGATTAAGGAAGGAAGAGAGCAGCTGGTTTCTGATTATATGGTCTGTTTCAGCATACAGATTATATTTCCAGTCAATAAAATACAAACAACTTCAAGATGCCTCCCCAAACATTTGTATTACCTCTGGACCAAGCTGCACAAAACTGTGTGGAACCTAGGCTGGCACAAATGTACAATGAAATACTAGGAATTCAGTGAAAGCCTTTCTTTTACTCTGGGCCCTAGGCAGAACTTGAAAAAGTTATTTTTGGACTGCAACTCACTGAAAGCCCCAGGGAGGGGAGTTATAATCCAAAAAGTAACTTTCCATACTCTGGCTCCTTGACTTCAAAACCAGAAAGCTCTATACTGAGCTTCTGGTAGGCCATCATACTTGGCTAGTAGACTGCATTCCAACAGGTCCCTCTCCAAAACAAAGTTTTTATGATATGAAAATTCTCATTTATCCATATTATGGAATTGGGCTAGTGATCGATATTCCTGCCAGTGCATTCTAGCAGTAATTGATTTCCCATAATTTTATGAAAAATTATTATTACTAATAAATCAGTCATCAACAATATCCTAATAAGTAATGACAGACACCACAAGCAATAAAGAAAAGAAGAGAAGAAAAACAAAAGTAAGATAGGGACAGTCGAAGAATCATGAATGTGAAGATTTTGGCAAGAAAACCCCAAGAACAAGTAATAACAACAATAATCAATATCATCATGGCGGGCGGTGGTGGCTGCAGCGGCAGGACCAGCCTGGGGCCGGTCCAAAGTCCTTGGGGGGCCGCATCCGGCCCCCAGGCCTTGGGTTGCCTACCCCTGATCTAAGATATGCAGATGACACCATAGTACTAGCAGAAAACCTCACAGACCTGGAACACCTACTAAGGAAGATCAAAGAAGAAAGTATAAAGACAGGCTTAATGTTGAACATAAAGAAAACAAACATAATGACCATCAAGGACCTTCACAAGTTCAACCTAGATAATGAAGAAATAGAAACAGTGAAAGAATTCTCCTACCTGGAATCAAACATTGAAAGAAATGGGGACTGCAGTCAGGAAATCAGAAGAAGACTAAGAATGGGGAGGGCAGCCATGATTCTACAAAAGATTCTAAAATGCAAAGATGTGTAACTCAGAACAAAAGTCAGAATCATACAAGTCATCGTATTGCCTTACCATGTATGGATGTGAGAGCTGGACAGTTAAGAAAGATGATAGGAAGAAAATGAATGCATTTGAGATGTGGTGCTGGAGAAGATTGCTGAGGATCCCATGGGCAGCCAAAAGGGCAAACAAATAGGTCCTAGAGCAGATTAATCTGGAAATCTCTCTGGAAGCCAAGATGACCAAACTGAGGGTGTCATACTTTGGATACATCATAAGAAGGGAGGACTCTTTGGAAAAAACAATAATGTGGGAAAGGTGGAGGAAAGTAGGAAGAGAGGAAGGCCACCTGCTAGATGGATGGATTCTATTAAGGAGGTCATGGGTATGGGTTTGCAGGATTTAAGCAGAGCAGAGGAGGACAGAGGGTCTTGGAGATATCTCATCTCCAAGACCCTATGGGTTGCCATGAGTCGGGTTGCCATGAGTCGGGATCAACTTGAGGGCAGTTAACAACAACAAAATGCAGATTAGTGACCGAGAACATGCACTTCCAAAAAGTACTCGGTAGTTACAGTTCCTCATAAAATTGGTCCAGATATTGCTGCCAAGAGAAGGAGAGAGGGGGGAGAGAGAGGCTACATCAGCAAAAGCATTTTTCTGTTGCAAGCAATTCCATTTTGCTATTTTTAGTGAGCTCTTCACAATTACAGAGATGATTTTGAATCCTTATCTTAAACTGTACTAAAATTCTAATTACTGTCAGCAAATTAGAGCTCAAGGGAGTTACTTTCAGAGTTGGCAACTCCCAGAATCCTCCATCATAGGGGAATAGGGACATTGCCATAAAAAAGTAACTTTCCAAACTTTTCCAAACTTAAACTAGTTGGACTACTTTCTCCTGCCTTGGTCTAACTCATTTTACACTGAGATCACAGTATTGGGTGGGATCTTGGAGGCCATCTTGTTTGACATCTTGCTTGTTTTTATATATCTCTGGGGGCAACTGCAGCATCTCTAGCAGATGGCTGTCCAGCTGCTGCTTGAACGCCCCCTGAATAATGTCATCTGAGGCCTTCTTTAACCTTCTGTCAGATGACAGAACATTTGAGAGCCTTTTTAGTACTGACCTCCCATCTTTAGAATGCTTTCTCCAGCAAGATTTTCCAGTGATACCTACACTAATATTATGTGTGTTACAAAAAATTATACTTCTATTTTTCTCTGCCTTTACAAGCAATCTTGTATTTTCACTTTTTAAACAGGTAGAAGTGATGCATTTCATTTTTTGTAGCTGTTACTTTCAGAGACTGGACTACAGCTCCCCTAATCCCCCAGCCAGCTTTACCACTGGCTTTGTTCACTGGGGCATTCTGGGAGTTGTCATTTTTTTTTAAAAAAGTAAATCGTACTTTCAAGATTGGGTTGTCTTAAGTTTTTATGTGCTTGATTCAGACAAGTGCTTTTACAGTACAGTGTATTCTGTTTTTATATTTCACATTGTTGTCTCTTGGGTTGGCATCACCTAAGGCAGTAACTCATAGTGTCACCCAACACACTGACCTCCTCCCATACCACTCCATACCAAATCCTGAGAAATATTTTTTATACTAATGTTACTCATAGATCGTAATTCTAATATGTCACTGGATGTAATGGCAATAGTTGTGACCTAAGCAACTAGCAAATTATACCTTTATATTAAAATATCATATATATAGCCTCAGTGTATTTACATATACATAGTTTCATGTGTTTAAAGTGATACCCGTGATATTTTATTTAATTATAAGCTGCCCTGCATAACACTGGGAGGGCTGAAAGCACACATAATAAAGACAGTGAATAATAATAATTTCAGTTCTATGGGATCACTAATTTCTTTCAATAATAATTAAGAAAGCTTCAATTCTGTTGAATCCACCAGTTTCCTTTGAAAAATTCAAGAAGGACCTTACCTTGAGTTCCTGCATTTCCTTTTACACCCTTAACTCCTGGTAATCCTGAAATAATTGGGGTGAAGGTGAGAGAACCAATATTTAAAAATAAAAGTATAAAATCAAAAATGTTATGTTAATTTCATGTTTATCTTTATAACTGATTTTCTAGGAAATATATTAAGAAATAGTTCTGAATATGCAAAATAAACATTTAAACCTCAATCAAATTCCACAAAAATGTATGCTGTGGCTTACAAACATTATAAATATCAGCAAAAGATACACATTAAGACCAGAATCCTGTTGGGCAGTTATAAAGGCATAACCTAGGATGCATTTGCACTGCAGAAATAATCCAGTTTGACACCACTTTAACAGCCATGGGTCAATGCTATGGAATTCTGGGGACTGTAGTTTGTCGTGGCACCAGAGTGAAGCTAATCTAGACCATTAGTATTTATGATCCCTATATAGCCCCTAATTTATGGACTATGAAAATGCTCCTAATCCCCACTCCTTTTGATCAGGAAACAGCTGATTAATGGTCCCACCTCATGTGAGCAATCTGCTGCACAAGGGCAAGTTGTGACAAGAGCTCTGCTTCTGCCTGTTCCACTGGAGATTGCTTGTGCAAGCGGGTGGGAATGTCAGTCAGCTGCTTC